TTGACTGTGGGGCTGAGGGTGGGGCTGAGGGTGGGAGGAGGTGACTGCTGGAGGGACAGTCCTTGACCCAAACTCCCCCCAGCCCTAGACCCAGATCTCTCCTCTGTACCTGCCTCTGCTCCTCTGCCAGCCTTTCCCTATCATCCCAGGGTGAGTTTGGCAATTTCTGTTTGGGGGAGGGTGCTGGAACCTCACTGAAAGTGGGGGTCTTCTTCTAGGTCTGACCATCTCCTGGGGCAGTAGGTGTGCACACAGACTGGGCTTAGGGGAAGACTGCTGGAGAACCCACAGCTGTCCTGTTCACCCACAAGGATGCTTTCTTCATGAACCTCCAGCTCCAGGGAGCAGAGGATGAGGCACTCTGCTCATCAAACCTTGAGCCTACTGGCGGCGGGAGAGGGTTTTCCGCGGGGCCAGGGATTCCCACATAGGGAGGCAGCTGCGCCACCTAGTGGACCTTTCCATCCTCGCAGGCATCCCTCCCACCCTTCGCCGCCTGCAGCCTGGATATGGCACAGCTTCAGGCAAGACACACACACAGAAGCCGCTGTCCGGTAAGGACAGGAGATGCCCTCCTCCTCCAGATAGACCTGACCCAGCTCAGAGAGGGAAAAACTGGGGGGATGTGGGAGGGGGGTGATCGTGTACTGGCGGAAATTGAAGATAGTGGGGAAGCTAAGAGGGGCTTTGGGCCTGCAAACAGCCTCTCCCTGTCATTCTGGATGCTACAGGTATGGGGACCATGGCTCAGAGCCCCCAAAACCCCTCCCTCCTGTGCCCGCCCTGCCTCCCTCCAGGCCAAGTAAAGCTGGGCTCAGCTCTGCCGATCAAGGGAGAGCTGGCAGAGGCTGGATGGAGCTGCCGGCTTTCCTCTGACGTCACAGCCTGGAAATCCCATTTTAAGCAGGTTCTCCGGGTGTAGGGCACCCACAAGAAAGGGAGGGGGAGCCAGCTGAAGAAGTTAGAGACCTGAGGCTGTTATAACCAGGAACCTCAGTCCTGGAGGGCTGCCCAGCGATCCCAAGGAGGCCTGGGCATGGGACCCAGCGCTCGCCTGCCCCAGTCCCTACCCAAAGCTAATACCTCTCAAAGGCCCCTGGAGACCCAGGCAGTGATCAAGCACCCTCCACAGAGCGCTGGCCATCCACCTATTTCTGACATCTCTTTCCCACTACCCTGGCTTGGAGAGATCTACGGAGGCAGAGGGGAGAGGGGGAAGGGGAGATTTTCCCAGGGAATGAGGGGACAGCAAGGGGTCACCTAGGCCCAGATGTGTGCCACCAGCCAGCCTCTTTCCCAGGAGCCTTTCCACCCATTCTTCTTGTCACCCTCTAGCTCTCCTCTTCTCTGCACCACAGGGGGCGGGCCCTGTGCCCAGAGTTCTAGAAGCCTGAATG